AAGGAATGTGCACAGAGAGTGGAGACAACAGAAAAAAGGCAGGCTCAAGGAGAGAAGGAAGGTGCTATGGTGATTAGAAATAAAAGCCCAGGTCACAGGGTAGCCACAAGCACAGAAAAAACAAAAACACTCAGACATTTAATTAGCTGCAGCCATTGTCAACCAGGTCAACCACTTAGCATGGATGGCACTTGGCCTTCCAAGTCATTGTGCCGGATTCTGGAACTATGTGGGTGATCACATAAGCGTTCCTGGTGGAGTGGGGGTGCATAGCCTACAGTCTGGGTCAGAGAAATCCGTCTTGTATTAGCTGCCTTCTGTTGCTGCGACTGAACAGTCGGCAAGAACAACTTAAAGAAGGAAGGGTTTGCTAAAGCTTGTGGTTTAAGGAGGTACAGTCTATCATGGTGGGTAAGTCTATGCTCGTGGTTTAAGGGGATACGGTCTATCATGGATACGGTCTATCATGGTGGGTAAATCGTAAGCTCATGGTTCAAGGAGATAGGGTCTATCATGGTGGGTAAGTCACGGTGGCAAGAGTATGAAATAGATATCTACACAGCATCCATACCCAGGAAACACAGAAGGATGAACATGAGTGCTCAGCTCCCTTTTCGTCCAGTCCAAAACCCCAACCCATGCAATGGTGCCACCCACTGCAAAGTGGGTCTTCCCAACCAAGTTGGCTTAACTTAGAAAATCTCTGGCAGGCATGATCAGCAATTGTAGTAATAGGAAGCTTTACCCGAAATAATTACACAGAAACTGTATTCATTTAAACACTGCCTGGCCCATTATCTCCACCCTCTTATTGGCTAACTCTCCCATCTTGGCTAACCCATCTTTAATAATCTGTATGTCACCACAAGGTAGTGGCTTACCGGCATGAGTCTAGCCAGCGTCCGTCTCAGGAAGGGGAATCATGGTGTCTGACTGACTCTGCTTTCTTCCTCCCAGCATTCTGTTCTGTCTACTCCATCTATCTGAATTCTGCCCTATCAAAAAGACTAGGCAGTTTCTTTATTAACCAATGAAAGTAACACATAGACAGAAGGCCCACCTACTCTAAGCAATTTGTCCCCATGGTGATTCTCGATCCCGTTAATACCGACAGCAGTATTAACCATCACCCATTCTCAACGTGACTGGTTCTACTCTGGTGGTCCTCATAGATGGAGAACCAGGGAGAGCATCCTCCATCTGTGTTCGCACTCTCAAAAGCATCACCAGGAACCTGGGAGAAAGGGGTCTGGGAAGAAACTGAGTTTAGGGAGAGAAGTTTTGGGAAGTTCAAAAAGGACTAGGTCTGTGTGATAAGGGCAGGGGGGGAGATAGTGGGATTAGGAATGATGCCAGGAACTGGGTGATATGATGGTAACTCTTTCCCAAGCCTAATGCCCACTCTGGGCTCTCTTCCTAAGGCAGGAAAATGAAGTGAAGAAGGAGAACTGAGGATATGGCTAGTAATCAAAGGAGAACACAGCCCCTTGCTGTCTTTTCTCATCCGGAGGGAAGTTGCTGGTAGAGGCACTATTCTGAATCCTTCCCCTGAGCGCAATCCATCAGCAGCTACTCAGAGAGATTCTCATGCATCTCCTCTAAAGTGAGACCAATGTTCTGGGCAAGGAAGGAGATCCAGCCATAGGCCTCTAGGGAAGTCATCAGATTGAGAGTGGGCAAGGACGTACTGGGCTTAGACACATCCTGGTACTAGCACACGATGGGATAAACAAAACGTGCTGTTTATGGAATGGTCTTTGGCCCGGAAGTGTCTCCCACTCACTGTCTGACCAGTCGATACCCGGAGATGTTCTTGGATTAAAAAGGAAATGCTCCTGAAGGATTGAGGCTGGACACTGTCTTACATCCAAATCCTAGTGTGTTGGTTTTAACTAAATCCTTTTCTTGCTTTACATCTCAGCAGCAGGAAAACCAAATGGGATGTGTTGAGTGGTGGGTGTAGAAACAAGAACAGCATCTCCTACCGACACCGTGGACACAGCATAGAGACCCCAGGAAGAGAGCACAGGATCTTAGCCCATGGGTCAACTAGGCCCGAGGTTAAGGAAGTGGGGTTGGGGGGAACACAGAGGCTCAGAAATTGGGGAGTAAAAGGGACGAGTGAGAATTACAAATGCAAACCTGGACTCTAAGCAGAAATAGCATCCTTGAAGGGACTGGGGCTCTCAAATCACTTTAATAGCTTCATGTTCAGAGGGCAGATGGGCTGCATGGTTGCTGCTGTTGGCTAAAAAATTCTTCAAATAAGGAAAATACGTCCCCCTGTCTAGCTGATTTGTAGTAATGAAATCTCCAGATGAGGTGGATTTTGCTATGCCTAGCTCATCTCTGCCTGGCCATCAGTCATTACGCCCAGGAAAAGGCCGAGGTTTGTAAAATGGCTTGCCTTAATCACATTGCTGTCACCATGAGAGAGAAATATTGGACAATATATAGTCATTGGAATGCAAAATGAATTTTTCCCTAGAATTGACCGTATTAGCACAAAGCCAGTCATCTGGTTAGCATAGACTTTCTCTGCTCCTACGTGAAACTTGGAAAAGCTTGACTCTAATTCTGCCTTCCCTGACTACCCATCTCACTCTTCATGTACACCGTCCTCTTTCCAAGGTATTAGTCTAGGAGATTCTGAGAGTCCCTGAAATTAGACTGTCTAATGCCAAGTCTTAGCACTGCCAGAGACTACCTGAGTGTCCTTGGTTGAGTGACTCAACCTCATTCAGAGTTTCTTTGTTGACAAAATAGAAACATCAATTTAAGTATGTAACTTGGTATGAGAGCATGTATTTATACATACAAATGTGTGAGTGAATGCATGTGGATGTGCATATGCTTGCATGTGTATGTGCGTGAGTGTGAAGGTCAGGAGGAGGCAACTTCAGGTCTTGTTTCTTAGGCACTCTCCAGTTTGTGTGTGCAGAAGTGGAAAACAAGTTGTCTCCTTGGCTAGAGCTCATTAAATAGGCTAAGCTGGTTGACCAGAAGGCTTCAAGGATCCACCTGTCTCCACTTCTTTAGGGCTGGGATAAGTATATACCTCCATGTCGGTATTTTTTTTTTTTTTGGTTTTTCGAGACAGGGTTTCTCTGTAGCTTTGGAGCCTGTCCTGGAACTAGCTTTTGTAGACCAGGCTAGCCTCAAACTCACAGAGATCCGCATGCCTCAGCCTCCTGAGTGCTGGAATTAAAGGTGTGCGCCACCACCACCCGGCTTGTGTTTTTTGTTTTTTGTTTTGTTTTGTTTGTTTTGTTTTTTTTGGATTTTCTAAATATGAATTCTAGGCACCAAAGTCAGGTCTTAAATGCTTGCAAGGCAAACATTTTACTGACTGAGTCATCTCCCCAGTCCAGAAGCCAAGCCACTCACAATATTACTAATAAAAGTTAAATTACATGCAAAAAGTTAAGCGCACTGCCTGACTCAAGACAGATAATTGATGACTCTAAACTTTGCTTTAATAATGAGACAGCGCTGAAAACTTGGAACCTTAAGAGTAAAACTTCCTCAGCTGTATGGTTTTCCAAAGTAAACACCTGTCAACTCGTGTGTGTCTGTGACTGCTTTGAGACATCTTGAACTTGACAAGATCTGTGCTTTGGTGATAAATGCTCCCATCATCTGCTGCACCCTTCTGTCTGTTTTGACTTCCATGGTGTGTAAGTTGTGTCTCTGAGCTCAGGATGCTGTTGGCTGGCGCAGTCTCTAAGAGCATCCAGCGTGCATGCCGTGTGTCCCGAAGTCTGATGGGTCTGCAGCTCAGAGAGAAAAAGAAAGAAAGAAAAGTCAAGACCATGGTCTTCCCTCATGGATAGAGAAGGCGGTCCATGAAATACCACCCTCACCTGAGGACCTTCCAGCCGCGATGGTTGCTGGAGGAGGCAGATATTGGGTTTCTTCAGGAATGCATCCCCGGCTGGACTGCCCTGCTCCGGCACACATGCGGCACTGAGCGGGCTCACTGAGTTCTAGGAGGCATACATGAAGTTGGGAGGGAAGAGAAGTGAGATGTGGGAGAAGTTGGAGGGGAGGATGTAAGGGTGGATTTGATCAAAACACGTTATATTCATGTGCCAACCTCTCAAACGATAGATTAAAGTAATAATAATAAAGGTCATCGGCCGAAGAAAGGATAAAGGCAGTGTGGGACCACGAGAAAAACTTTTACTCAACATCCTGCTTTGTTCAGAAGGAAAAACGGAAGCCCACAGGTGTCATAAGACTTTCCCCAAAACCACTCGCCTAAGTGGACATCAAACTGTTACCCGTAGCAAGGGAAGAAAGGAGAGCAGCTCAGGAGTGAACCGGGGGAAGGTGGAAAAGACTGTGAAGCCATTCTTACAAACCCCTCGGAAAGGAATGAAGAGGAACATTTGGGGGTACAGAAAACCATAAAATGCCTTTTCAGGGAGCTAGAAAATGTCTGAGGTGGAAAAATAAGGAGTCTAGATCCTCCTGCTCACAGAGAATAGAATCAGGTGATCACAGTTTTTTCTCTCTGTGTAACAGTCCTGGCTGTTCTGGAACTCACTCTATAGACCAGGCTGGTCTTGAACTCACAGAGATCCACCTGCCTCTGCCTCCCAAGTACTGGGATTAAAGGCTTGCGCCACCAGCCCAGCTAGGGTAATCACATTTTAATGTGGATGTGGGTTTGAATGCATTTCTACCTTATTTTATAACTCAGGCAAAACCGTGTGTCTAGACTCTACCAAAACTGGCATGTTGTGTTCTCTAAGGCATGAGGAAACCAACACATGATTTTCTATCACTGAGAGAGGGAGCTGGTACAGCCCTAGTGGTCTGAAATGGCCTTTGAAATCATAACAAAGGGGTTACCAGCAAATATGAGACACTTTCGAGCACCGGGAAGCTTTTGAAACTTTTTAAAGACAGAAAAAGATGTGTGTTGGTTTGTGGTTTTAACTGATTGGCCCCTTGACCTGCCAATCATCTGTGTAATCCTTTCTGTTCTCTTTCAGGGTCCTTCTTCCCAGATTTCAAGCCCTCAGAAACCGTTTTCAAAATAGTATTTTGGCTTGGCTACCTAAACAGCTGCATCAACCCCATCATATACCCATGCTCCAGCCAGGAGTTCAAGAAGGCCTTTCAGAATGTGCTGAGAATCCAGTGCCTCCGCAGACGGCAGTCTTCGAAGCATGCCCTGGGCTACACCCTGCACCCGCCCAGCCAGGCCGTGGAGGGACAGCAGAGAGACATGGTTCGTATCCCCGTGGGCTCGGGAGAGACTTTCTATAAGATCTCCAAGACAGACAGAGTCTGTGAATGGAAGTTTTTCTCTTCCATGCCCCAGGGATCGGCAAGGATTACAATGCCGAAGGACCAATCTGCCTGTACCACAGCCAGGGTGAGAAGTAAAAGCTTTTTGCAGGTCTGCTGCTGTGTGGGGTCCTCGACCCCCAGCCTCGAAGAAAATCACCAAGTTCCAACCATTAAGATCCATACCATCTCCCTCGGTGAAAATGGGGAGGAAGTCTAGAAAACGGGAAAGGTCTCAGGAAGAGGGGTCGCTAGGTACCGCTGATTCCCACTCAGAAGGCCAGTGAATTCTTGAAGGACAATCCAGGACCGTTCAAAGAGGTCCCCATCTGGGAAAGGGGAGAGGGAGGGCACCAGTTCCCGGGGAAAGTGGGGAGGGCACGGAGTAAGAGGCAGGGTATCTGGTAACTAATTGGTCCTGAATGATGGGAGACCCGTTTCCCTTCAGCTCAAACCCTCAGCCGCTCTCTGATCCTGCTTTCCACAACTGACCCTTTCAACAAGAAATACCATGGGAAAGAAAATTTCATACACAATCCAAAAGACTATAAATACAGGATGATGATTTCATTGTGAATATTTTGAGCACACACTCTAAGTTTGGAGCTATTTCTTGATGGAAGGGAGGGTATTTTATTTTCAGGCTGAACCCACTAGCAACCACATTTGACATTTATGGAGAGGGGATCTAGACAGAAGGAGTATAAGGTGGTGGCCAGCGTGCTTCCAAAGTGAGTGTGGAAACGCCACCAGATTCTCAGCTTGGGTGAACCTGGACAGGGGTCTTCCCAGAGGTTGATTTTGACAGATTCCTTATTTCCATTTGAAACTAGGATGCATTCTCCATCCTTGGACCCAAGGAGTATAGCCAGGACTAGCCAGGGACAGCTTGCTTTTCTCAGGAGCAGAGGGTGTGGCCGGGGCAGCAGTTGCAAGACCTGGTGAAGGAAGGCTTTCTTCTTTTACCTCTTTAAAGACCAAGAAGCTGGAATGTGGAGGATGCTAACATCAGGCTAATGTCCTGTTGTTCTGCAGCCTCTTTGATAGGACAAACCACTCACCCTTTCCAGAACTCCATAATGCAAACTCAGGAATGGCAGAATACTGGCTTCCATTTCCTCTCACCTGCTTCCTTGCTTGTGTGGGGTTCACTGGTGGCACATAGAGTGAGTCTCAGGGTTCAGACACACTTCTTTTAAGCTTCCAAACATACTGATGCTCACCCTCAAACATTTTAATTGATTGCCAAACAACTGCCCAATATTAGGAATGGTGACTATGGCAATCACACATAAAAATTAAAACATGCCTGTCATTCCTCCATAAGAATCATAAAATAAGGTTTAATGTTTGTGGCACCAACCCTAATAAGAACCACAACTGCCAACATTTTTCATAACTTCTTCCCCTAAGAGCATCTGAGCAGGTTGAAGTTACCATGAAACCTCCGGAGGAAGACTCCTGGTCCCTGCAGCTTTCCTTTCCTCCCTTACATCAAACTGAACTCTGTCATAAGTCTTTCTAAAGGCAAATCTTTATCCACATTGCAATGAAGGAAGTGCATGCGTGTGGCTGTGGGTTTTGCGATCAGTTGTCTTGGGGCTTTGAATCTGACCTGCTTCCTCCACCTTTTCCTGGGCTGTGTCTTCTTGTGGGCCAGCAAGAGAGTTACTTGGCCTTGTGTTCTGAACTTGGCTTCTGCTACTGAGAAGTTGGCTGGGATTTTAGGCTTTTCTTGGGCTCTCTGCATAGCTCCTAACAACTCTACCAGATGTGAGTGTCAACGTATCCAGGAAGACCTTCAGAATGCAAGCCTGGGTCTTCTGCTCAATACGAGCTTCCTTGTTCCAATTAGCTTCCTTCTAAATCTGCATTCTAAAACTGACCCTTGTTCTTGTCATCTCCCCCATAGAAGAGCATCCTCACGGGGAGGAGCGGAGCCTTTCTTCAGCAGAGTACCATCCCATGCCACCGATGATCCTTAAATCACTGGATGAAAACACACAAATGTTGAAGGTGGAAAACTTAGGCACACTAAAAGGCTACCATTAATGCCAGTTTAGGTCCTCAGATAAAAACCAGCAGTATGCATGTAGAATTATCTGTAAACAGCTGCCCACACACCCCTCTGGCATTCCTCCCTCTTAAGCAGTCGAGTATCTAACAGCCCTTTCCATTCCCACAGCAGGGTGCTGACTAGAAACACAGCAACTTTATAAGAAATTGATAATGTCACCAAAAGACATGGTGACAAAAGTGGGGTAAACAGCATAAAAGTAGAATGTCTTTTTAATCACTCACCAAAAAAAAAAAAAAAAAAAAGTCTGTACCTTTAAGTGTGCCAAAAACTATCTAAAATGGTTACAGCCAAACGAATGATTGTCATATTTATATTCACGTGTTTACTGCTTCTATTTTTCTATTTGGAGTTTTAAGAATTTACCCAGAGTAACCCCAGTTAAAACGTCCTCTCTTGCGTGTTCTAAGAAAACGATCGCTTTGGGATTGTCTCTCTGCCACGAAATCAAGGGGGCTGTTATGGTAGGCGACTTTGAGACTAGTGTGAGATTCAGACCGTGTGTATGAAGAGGGGCCTTGGCTCTCTTCACTCAAAAGTTTCTCCAGGGCATCAGAGAAGCAGCTCAGTTGGTGGGGTGCTTGCCTGACATACAAACCCCAGCAGCACCTAACACCGAGAGTGGTGGCTCACGATTGCAAACTCAGCATTCAGGAGGTACAAAGAAGAGAATCAAGAGTCCAAAGTTAACCTTGAATACATAGTAAGTTTGAGCAAGCCTAGACTACATGAGACCCTATTAAGAAAAAAAAATCCAGGCTATGCCACTGCAAGAAAAGCTCGTCCTTGCCATAGTCTCACCCCAAACTGCTTCTGCATGGAATTACTCTGCATGTGACACCCTTTGCAAAGCACTGACGCTTCCAGCTCTCAGCACTGCCTAGGACTGACCCAAGACAGAGAGTGCTCGCTGAGCTATAAGTCCTCCCTTACGGCACTTCTGTTAGCTCCATCACATGTCAGGGATCAGTGGCTCTGATCCTCTAGAAACTCTTCCATTGCCAGTTTTAAAATGAACTCTGGTGGTTGAGAAGGGCTAAAACTTGCCCATGGTGAAGAAGGAACTGTGGTTCAAGACTGAGTTTCCCTCTAGCTGTTCACACTCTGTGCGGTACCTCTGCTTCACACATTGGGACAAGAGAGTTTGAATTGGAGATTCTCAGGAGACTGTTCCACATCCAAACTTTAATGGAATTTATTCCCTTGGGGGTTTTTTTCTACAAATTAATCTTAGCAAATACACCATATATAATTCCAACTATTAGAGAGCCTTCCCATCTCCAGGACATAGTGCTCCCAGATAGAGCTAAAGCCTTACGAAGCAGGTAGGTTATACTAAACCAGAACAAGATGAGCATATAACCAAACACGGAAGAATTAGCCAAGAATGGGAAGGCCCAGTGACAGATGGGACACGTACTGGGTGGTGTGTGGAAGTCAATATGAGCACGTAGGAAGTATGCCTTTTCAAAGATATATACAAACAGCTACAACACTAGTTCCCATTCGCCTAATTCCAACCTTTATTTTACAAGATAGCAAAAAGGGAAGAGACCAGAGGCATCCCACCAGGAAGTACAGAGCATGCGCTGGGCACGTGACTTTCCTGGATGCCACTCAGAACGCTGGTCTCCAGGTAGCCAGCGACTGGTGGTTTTTGAAGACAGGCCATTGGTCGGCAGTTGTGCATCTTAGCTCACTTCCTTTTCTATATGGGCCAGCATGAAGACCTTTTAGCACAGTAGGTTTGGGGGTGCAAGCCTGGGAGCGAAACTATTTTAGGAAGCATTTCCTTGAGCAGGTAATTGTTCCTGTGTCAATCACCACTTCTTAATCACCGCTAACAAACATTCCCAATTGCTTCTGGGGATAGCGGCGTCCCCATCCATCCTCTTGCCAAAATATGACGCTGCCTCTCCGATGAATGCTTGCTGTCTTAATTAAGGGAAGAGATGGCTCCTCAGCAGAGAGAAAGGCGAACAGGATGAAAGGCGAGTGAAAACCAGGGCAACAAGAGGAGACAGAGGTAGCAGATGCACAGGCATCAGAGGCACTCATCGGTCACTCTGGTCTCTTTTTCACACTACTAGGGCTTTTAACCGTGAAGCCACCTGTGCGTACACAGCTCCGAAAGAGCCCAGTTGGAACACAGCACCTGCTCTGGGCCTCCAAACTATGCTGAGGAGCTGAGCTGAGGTCACATCTTCCAAAAGCCGTGACAGCAGTGGCCTCCAGCCCTCCAAGTTCCCTGCAAGCTGAATGAGTGGACATGACTGGGAGCTGGGCCGGGAAGTGAGTTAGGATTTTAGCCTATGAAGCCAGTCCCTGGCCAACGATGCCATGGATGAGCTCTCATTCATGTTTCCTGGGCTCTATGGCACATGAGAGAGCTGAAAAAGAGCCGTGCCTGCTCTCTGCGGGAGAATGTCATGTTTCCAACTACCACTGCTGAACCTCCAAAGGCGGTAGGGGTGGCAGGGAGCGTTGAAGGAGGAAACTGACCACAGCCGTGACTCAGAACCGGAAGGGTTAGTCACGCTCTGCCCCAACTGACACGAAAGAAACTGTCCTGAAACTGGTGGCTTATTCACAAAGGGCAAATAATGACCTTTTCTTTCGTGTGGCTTGGGAGTTATTGTCATGCGGTCCCTGTAGCACACTCAGTGCAGTCACATTATAAGCTGGGTTTGATGATTGTTGAGCCATGAAAAATACAGACTTAATTAGGTGGGGAAAAAAATCTTAGCACAACTTAGCATTGTGTTTAGAGGGGAAAAAAAAAGATGAACAACCTGGTTTATGAATCAGGCTGAATAAAATAAATGTATCTGAAGAGAAGTAGCTAAGACAGAAATTCCAACATGGACTTAGAGCTTACACACACAGACACACACACACACACACATGGATATGTGTATCACCACATACTTATCAAACCTTTCTCAGGTCATTCTGGTGTGGGAGAAGGAAAGGGAAGCTTTTACCTACATTTGGCATGTGAAAAAATAGAAGTCAGGAGTTAAGGACTTCTCTGAACATCCTCATATCCAACCTTTCTCCACGAGGCTTCCGTGTCTGCAGGTCCGCCCTGTATTTTGACTTTCTGACGTCCATAGCTCCCTTCTTCAGTTCTGGGTCAGGGCTCTAACTCTGATCACACCTCCTCCCTGCCTGTCCTGGCCAACGGTTAGGAAGAACTTGTAGTACATGGTCACCCGTTCACGTTTCCTTGGCTGACAGACAGGCACCTGGCATTCTGTCCTTTCTCCACGGATAAGCTGCTTCCAACCCAGGGAAATAGCTAGGGGCAGAAGGCGATCCCTCTGCTCAGTAGGGTGACGTGTCAGGCAAAGTCGGCTGTAACTGTCTCCCTAAGGTCCTCAGGAATACAAAGGTCCCAAAGGGAACCTTGGGTCATTGGGCACACTCTGATTAGCAGTCCCCGATGGCCCCTCTCCACAGCACCACCCTGACATGAAACCAACGTGGGGCACAGTCAGTCCCCAGTGTACGAGCTGATGGTGGGTTCAGAAGTCAAGTATGTGTTTTTCCAAGAGGCATTGTTACAAATGGGGAGGTGCTCCTAGTGGAACCAAAAACAAATAAATAAACATCTGTTTAATGTATACCAGGAGTTGGTAAGCCTTTCCTATAAATGGCTAGATGGTAAATATTTCGAGCATGGTGGTTTAAGTTCTCCGTTTTGGCTCTTTAGTGGGAGGCTAGGGACAGTCCTTTAAAAATGTAGACTCATTTGTAACTCAAAAGGCAGCAAGGTGTGGACCAAATTTAGCCCATGGGCCACAGTTTTCCAGCCACACTCCAGGCCACCACTAGCTTGCAGTATAGAGCCAATACTACTGAACTGTGGCTGGGGGTGATTGGCATGATTGTAAAAAAAAAAAATAGGTCACTGATGGATCACTCCTGGATGAAGTCAACGTTCCCAAACTGTGTGAGTTGTTACATACAGCAGCAAGTTCACATTGACATCCTCAGGATTCCAGGCAGGTGATAGGAGCAGAGGGAAGCGTTTACCACTCCCCACATTGTGCCCCATGGGGTAGGCAGGTCAACAGAAGCCACAGTGAGTCCAAAGGTCCTCCAGGCTTAGAAGGCAGTCTCGCCCCCATGACATCTATCCAACTCAGAGCAGCCACTTGACCAAGGATGCCATGAAATTTCTCCCAGGTCCTCAGAACTCATCGAAGTAAAGATCCCTAGAAACCTTTGAGCTTCTTGGAGAGGCCCAATGAGCACAGTCCCCCGTGTTAGAGCATTTGGAACCTACTTGGAACTCATTAGGAAAAGTGACGGGGCACAGAGAGCATCTTCCAGAAGAAAAGTGAAAATAGAATTTTTTCTTGTGTCTCCCTCCTCCTGTGTCTCCCTTTCTTTCCTCTTTCTCCGTGTTTTTGTTAAATTGAAATCATTAATGAATGAAATAGAAATGGCTCCAATATCAGAAAATTTACTGAGCACTCCCTGAGAAATGCAAAAACCGTGTTTCCCTGAGCTAATGTTTCAGTGGAGGACCCCTTCCTTTCCTCTCTAGTCCTGAAGGGACAGTGAGGAGCAGGGGGTTTCCAGAGGCAACTAAGACTCAGATCATGTGACTTAGTGCAGCATCTGAGTACTGAGAAAGGAGACCCCAAGGATGGGCCATGGGTAGGGCAGTGGAGGCAGACATAATCTGTGAAGGCCCGGAACTATTGGCACCACATCCAAACTGAGCCTGGAAAAAAAGACAGCTTCCCTTCCACACCCTTTCTCCCCCTCGTGCTGTGTCTACACCCTTTGCTCTTTCTACCTTATGCTGATTCCATCCTAACCCCATAAATCAACCCTCCACGCCTGCCAGTTTTGCAGACAATGAATGGTGTTTCCTTAGGCCCTTGTCTGTGGGAAACGTGCTCCACGCTGTGAGTAAAAGGATAAGTTCCCAAAGCAACCACAGTAACTTTTATCCACGAGCCTGGGCCAGAAAATGAGGCCAGGAAGGCGAGAGCATCCTCGGGGCCCTGGTCCTTTCAGGACCTTGAGCCTCACCTTGGATTTCTGCCTTTCTGTTCTTGGGTGATCCGTCCCTCACGAAGGGCACGGCATACTGTGAGGCCACATTTCAGGGGTGCTGTGGCTTGGAATGGTTTCCGGAGTACCTCTAACCAACCTCTCACAATCTAGACATTTTTGCCATGCGCTCAAAGTCGACCTTATTCTCCATCATCACCTTTTGGCTCTTGCTTTTGTTCTCTCTTTCTTGTGAACTTTCCCTCTTAGGAGGTCACCGGGCGCTTCAAGGTCCTGGTGAACCCATAGAGTAAGCTTGGTTCCCCCTTCCCGTTGAGCAATGGCTAATCCATCAGGAGGCACACCTCAGCTAGACTGTCCATGGGATGCTGCTTCCTCCAAGGCTCTGCTCCTTGTTCCTCTCCCACACACCATGCTGCATGTTCCTGAAACGTAGGATTCCCCTTCTTGCCTACCCTGCCCTTTAACTAGGGAAATGTCTGCCTTGAAGACTCATCTTCCACATGAGTGCTCCAGTTCTTGCTGGTAGCTTCAGCATTTGTATCCCCATGTTCAATTCTCGGGCACATTTTTGCTCAATAACGCAGTCTTGTATGGCTTCAACAACATCTGCCGGAGTCGTTATGATCCTAAGATGCTAGAAATCCCAAATCAAGGTGTTAGTTGGCCGTGTCTTCTTCAACTGATGTTGACTTCCCCCTGAATTTCTGTGTGATCTTCTACTTCTTACAAGAACACTGGATGATCCCCAGTGTCCCCATGATCTCACTGCACCTTAAATACCTCTGTAAAGACTATTTCCAAATACAGTCACATTGTGAGGAAACAAGAGATCAAATTGAAATGAGAATTTAGGGGTCATTCAGTTCAACTCATACAATCCCATACATTCTCTCCTTTCTTCCCATACCCCCCACAAAATCCATACTCCGTTACCTAGCTAGGAAGTTCAAATTCAGCACTTTCTGTTTATTCCTCCCCGAGTTTTTATGCCAATTGTCTGTAAAATGGATTTGTCAACAAACTATGCACTTGCTTGTGATCTCCCAGACGCTTCTTAAAACTGCAATACTTAAAGCATTTTGAAAGGTACCTTGAATATATTGCCCTGACATGGTTTCAACTTCTCAACCAGGCAGACATTCTGAAGGGCAGGGACAGTTGTATCATTTGGAACACACACAGCAACACTCTACTTCCAAGGGAGAAAAGCCCCTCAACCCCCTGCCAGGCAAGAAAAAAGAGGAGGAGGAGTGGCTGGGGGGACAAACCAACAAGAACTTGAAAGGCCAGGGTAACAATCAGAGACCTGGAGTTTCTAGAAATTTAATAACATGGATTATGTACCAACTATGGAGAATCCCAAACTAGCGTGTGTCTTGGGTCAGGTGGGCATTTGGCCTCCCCCCCCCCCCGAGACATCAGCATCCAGAAAAGCAGAACCCCAGTGCTGACGAGGACAGATCCTCGACTATATGGTTGGAGTGAGGCAGAAGGCGGAATTAAAGACCAGTGACAGCCTTAGTCCTGAGAAGTGGGTTACTAGGGCATCTCGGGAACACTGTGATCAGCCCAGGTCCCATCTACTGAAATAACCAGACCAAAGGCCATGAGGTGAAAGCGATTTCACCTCCTGGTGAAAGGGATTTCAATTAATTAAGACCTCTGAGGATATCTTTCCATCATTACTGCAAGAGCCTCCTGAAACCATAGTGATATGCTTTCTTCACTACAGGGCGGTGAAACACCTTGTCCTGTCTAGATCACTTCTCTTACGAAGTTCTATTTCTGCTTCATAATCTCTCCAAGCCCTTATAGTAGACAGATCTCCTGCCCCCACAGTGTCACTGTGACAAACAGAGGAATGTCTTCTTCTGCCCAGCTTCATGTTAAGAAGTGAAAAACATCCATCCTCATTTAGAAGTCTCAGCTGCTACACAGCATGGTCTCTCCCACCCTGTTTTCCTTACACCAAAGAATTTTTCTTTGGTTTCCTGCCCTCACCCCTGCCCCGGAGCCTGTGGTCCATCAATCTCCACAGTGCAGTGTCCCCATCTAGAGAATCACAGCAAAGTTAGTGTTAGCCCAATCTAGAAGGGAGGCAGAAGACAATCTCTTGAGGCATCAAAGCCTACAGAAGTGTTCAGAGCCAAAAGCCACCCCAAAATAGGTCTGAGCGTGTGTGGCTCTGTCTTGATGGTGGGTCCACTAAACGTGTCTGTCCTTTGTCTCCTCATTGATCAAACTCTGAGCTTGTAGTGTCTCCCCTTCCACACTACACCTACGTGTGTAGGTCCCCGTGTCACACCAGAAGTGACAGCAGCTGTAGAAAGCAGAGGCACCGAGGCCATTGACAGACGGCAGGTCAGTGAGCAGCTTTCTCCAAAAGAGGCGCTGAAGTCCAAGGTGACAAATGAGGCTAGGAGAAAGTGCAGCGGCAGGTGCTTGTGAGAGAAAAACATGCAAGTACCCCAGACTTATGGAACAATTTGCTTCTTTTTTTTAAAGAATAAAACTCTTATTAAAGATGAAATTGAATTAAAAGGCAGTATCCCTTGCTTGCTCTCACCTCCATTTCTGGCGGCCAGCCTGGCTCCTGCTTTCCTGTGCTGAGCATCACAGCCCTCATCCCTAACTTCAGGTGAGAGCAGGCAGCCTGCTATGGTCATCCCGCTCAGCGTTGAAAGCCCAAATCAAATTGCATGCTCTCTTCATCAGAAATGAAGAAAAACAAGTCTTTATTCGATGACTCTAGTAAGTTACAAACAAAAACCATCCTTCCGGTCATTTCCATAGCAATTGAATCCACATAGCAAACTCTAAGATTCTTTTACTCCTTCCCGTGACTCTAATGGGTGGTGCAGAAACAAAGTCATAAAAAGTCACAAAAAGTGGATTTTTAGGTCTGTGGAGATAGCTGATCAAGTGTTTGCCTTGCAAATCCTAAGAATGAGTTCAATTCCCAGAACTCATGAAAGAAAGAAGAGAAGAAGGAAGGAGGGAGAGAGGGAGGGAGGGAAGGAGGGAGGGAGGGAGGGAGGGAGGGAGGGAGGGAGGGAGGGAAGAAGACAACAGTGCACCCTTGCGATCACAGCACTGGGAAGCACACAGGAGCACCCCTGGAGCTCGCTGGCCAGCCTGGTCAAATCAGTGAGTTCCAGGTCAAAGTAAGAGACTGTACCTAAAAGACAAGGTGGTCAGCTCCTGAGGGACAATTCCTGAGAGTGTCCTCTTGTCTATACACCACACACACACACACACACACGCACGCACGCACGCACGCACGCATGCACACACACACACACACACGCACACACCACAATCCTACAAACTTTAAACATTTCTGCTCACATCTGTTTCTAGAACCCCTGCTCACTGTTAAGCCCTTTAATGCAGTTTGAAATGTGCAGGAACAAGATTGTAGAGTCGTATTGTAGGTGGGAGATTTTCATAGAGAGCGGGCACAAGGATTTGGGCATCAAAGCAGAGAAAGGGAAAAGTTTGCAGGGACTTTGCAAAAGAGAAACCTGAGACTTGACCCCTCCCATTGCTTCTGAAGCACTCTTGTGGGAACCTAAACCAGACTCAACTTGCTGAGTCTTGGCCTGCTCGGATCCACCCAGACCGCATCACAAGAGGGAAGCTGGAGGGATGTTGAGATTGGTATAGAAAGAGCCATAGTCAGGGCCATCACAGTCCTGGGCCTCAGTGAAACCCCCTGTCTCACAGTGGCTCGGAGCAAGCCCCTTGACCCCTCTGGCCCCATGTCTTCAGCTCTGAAATGGGGAGCAAGTGAGATGTGAGTTCAGGAAGGTGCCCCATGAGATGGCATAAGCAGTCTGTCACAGTGGGCC